TTTTTTTTACAGACAGAGACCAGAAGCTGCTACAGAGAGTCTGAGAAAAGGCCACTCACACAGACGCAGCATGGTGGGACTGAGTACACTGTGAGCCAACACAAGCTCAGCCTGGCCGAGAGTCAGGGTCAAGATGTCACTGTGGTAGTGACCACTGGTGCGTATATGTCATATATCAGTTCATACCAAAATTGGATCTGGTTGAAGTAACTCACATCCAACATGTGTCTCTTTCTCTTTGGAAATCAAGGGATAAATATGCCAATGTTCACAACGTACACCATCAAGCCGTCGTCGTCGTCCTCCGTGGTGAGTCCAACTCCCACCACAGAGGGCGCAGCTGCTACCACTACAGCCGCAGCTGTGGGATCCACCGACGCTCCGGTCACACCACCTACCAGCACCTCTGCCTCCATCAGTCCTGACGGTCTCTCATGTAGCATCGTGCCCTCACTGGGATCAGTCCTCCATCCTTTCGACATAAGCTGTAGCACCAACGTTCCCTGCTCCGGTTGTCTGTATTGTTTCACAACCGGGGGGAAGTTTTTTTTACACATTGTCATGGAGTCAAATTATGCTAATGCAAGGTCAACAGGTCAAGTGGAGGATGTGACGTTGCAGGTTGTACAGGTTGTTTAAATCACCTAAACTGTTTAGGTGAGGCAGAGTCAGACTGTATGAAGTAAAAAAGTGTCAGCTAGTTTTGGTGAACTGGCAACCTGATTAAAAAAACACACATTAATGAGGTCATTCTATTTAGTTTTTTTTATCTATATACAGAAATATTACGGAGTGCTGTGTGTGTCTCTTCTGGTTCTTTAGAGCCGATGTAGAAATTATTATGAACAGTTATAAACATGACGTGATGTTGTAAAAATGTTAAAGTTGTGTGGGAACTGACATGAGCTTCTCTGACTGAGTGGGAATGTATAGATAAATACACAACGTTCATGTCTGGTTAGATACTGAATCAAAGAAAAGGAGAGTCTGTTTTCCATGTAGTCTGTCAATAATACATAACAATGTCCGACAGAGAAGAAGGAGTCAGTGTGAGAGACTCACCAGTCGCAGGTGAGTCTGAAGTCTGTGAGTCTACGTACGGATGCTCCAGTCAGCAGTAGACAGGAGGATGTCAGTGCAGAAACTACTCTTACTACAAATCAGAGCTTGGATTGCGTTATCCAACATGTTGTCTGACTGAGTCCTGCTTTGACTGAAGAGTCAAAAATATGAAAAACATTAAACAGTAAAGCTCAGGTATGAGGTACATAAGTTCTTATTTTCTGTGTAAGAGAGTTGTTGTCTCGTCCAATCAGAGAAGCATCTGCGCTGCAGTCCAAACAGTGAAGTTACGTCTGTCTTCCTTCCGGTTGGAGACCGCGGCTCCGACTTCAACCTGTTGATCACAGCGACCGCCAAAAAAAACAAGTTTGTTCTTGAGACCACTGTAACTGCACAGGTTTGTCAACGTGTGGTCGACGTAAATTGTTGCCGTTTTCGCCTCTGCATCCTTTAACAAAAGGCTTTTTCTGCACAGGTGCTGGACTCAGCTGAGACGTCTGAATCCTCAGTGGACGTTCTGAGGTCATCTGTGGAGAATGCTGTGGCTCAACTGAAGGCTGAAGGACTTCTGTCAGGAGAAACAGTGGGACAAATTATGGCTTCTGTGGCCAACACACTGAACAGCCATACAGATGACCCTCACCCTGCTGAAAGACAAATGGTAAACCGAGGATGTCTGAACTGTATTAATACAATGATACAATGTTAAATTTAACAAAAAAAAGTCCTCATCCTAGTCAATGATTAGTCAAGACTATACTGCATGTCCTACTGAAGAACTAGACAGAGTTTAAAAAAGCATTGAGCAAAGGAAAAAAAAAAAATCAAATGTAGTGGTCCAGCACTGCCTGTCAGACTTAATGGGCAAAGATTAGCCCGCAAGCCTTTAGTTTGACGTGATCTGTTACCCATATTAAGCCCGCAAGCCTTTAGTTTGACGTGATTGATCTGTTACCCATATTCATTTTTTATTTAAGATTGAAATTTATCAAACATCTACATTCATTTACACAACTGCCTAAAGAACATGGCCTACAGGCTGACAAGTTAATTCTGCGTCACTGAAAAAGAAAGATGGCGCTCTGTCTCCCCTGCATTATGTTTTTGGTCATGTTATTTTAAAATGGAAGTCTTTATGGAAAATAGATGTTATCTACTTTAATTAAAGATGACAGTTATTGTTTTTCTATCTGTGGTAAATATTGAAGTCACACGTAGTTTCTCTTCTGAATCTTAAGTATTTTTTGTGACTGAAAACAAACTCCAACATCCTTATCTTTTCCTATATCTGTGGAAGTTACGTGAGGAGATGCTTGAAATATTATTGAGTGTTGTACAAGACGTGCCCCCGACCACTCCGATGGAAGTTGAAGTTGTGGCCAGATGTCTCACTGCTGTTTGTGCAAAAGACACTGACCTTAGCACCTCTTCACAGGTAAAATCATGTTTCTCACTGCTGTTTGTGCAAAAGACACTGATCTTAGCACCTCTTCACAGGTATGGTAAAATAAATGAGAAAACAAATCACAAATAGTTGTATTGAATCTTTGGATCAGCTAACTTAATTTCTTTTTTTCCCTCAATCCAGGAAATGGCTTTGTCATTATTTGTGAACCTCAGCTCGTCTCTGCTTCACATGGATCTGAACAAAAGTAAAGAAAACTTCATAGAAACACAGATTGTAGCCAACGCAATTGTAGAAGGAGTCGGCAACGTCCTGAATTATTTTTCAACTGTAAGTTCTTTATTTTCATGCTTTCTGCCAGTAGCTCTAAAATAGTCTGTGAAAACCTTTTTATCACTATTTCACTCACCAACAACAAGAAAACTTTGCTACTGTAAAGTAGACCGTTACATTACTTTATTACTACTTGTCTTTATGAGATTATACATTACTAATTTGGCTGATCTAGGAGATATCCCCTAGAAATATAATTGACTCACATCTGCTAATGGAAATCTGAGAAACCTCCAGGCATTAATGAACAATCACGTCTTTTTCAGAAAAACACCTCTGATGCTCTTCTCACTGTGCTGAGAAATACACAGAGTGCTCTGTTAATATTCAAAACTGTAAACGAGGCTCCAACTATTATTCAGCATGAAAACATTGGTGTTTTTGTGAGCAGGTAAGTTTTATAGAAGCCACTTTTCTTCTTTATGTAATGCAAAAATGACTCTGAATAAATAGGAAAGAAACCAGAAAGGGTTATTTCTGCTCAATCCATTAAGAGGAGTGATCCAGGAACAGGTACTCATCAGTAACCAGACCACCAGCTGCAGAAGCATTGATCCTGGTTCAGAATAGTATATTTTTAACCTCGGTAATGTTGCAGCCTGTTTCTTTATAAGCCCGACTTCCTGTCTGCGTGATTGATACACAGTAACATTTCTGCCAAATCTCTCTCACACCAGTCATGTAGGCATCAGAGGGTGAATATTCACCAGAGATCCAAAGTCTGTCGTCTCTCAAATATTGACAGCAGCTCTGTGATGCCTCCATATTTAATAATATATCTTGATTTCTAGTGGGAACAGGTTCCTCCTGGAGAATTCAGTAGTAGTAGTATAATGTAAAATGTAACATTTCTTGGTGGTTTTGTAAAAAAAAAAAATCTGTTTCTTTTAACAGAGTGACCCTGGGAAGTGTGCAGAAACAACCTCTACATTTTCCCAACTGTACCTGCCCTTCATTCTCTTTACCAGCTCTATCCTTGAGCATGTTTCCTCCAGAAGAAACGGTGGATTTACGAGTAAGTTCGACAAGTACTGATCTGTTTTACAGCATTTTATCAAAACTGTAGGAGTCTGTATTTTGTTCTTCCACATTTTTCAGATGGTGTTTTTAGAAGAAAATATATTTTCATGGAGTGAGAACGGAAACGGAAACATCAGTGGCAAAATAGTTGATCTGAGCCTCACCACGGCAAACGGCTCCGTTATTAAAATAAAGAATTTAATGGAAGATATTGAGGTAAGTACATTTCCTGTTTTCAATACGTCACTCTGAGTAGTACTTTGTAATAAATCTTAACCCTTGTTTAACAGATTTTTTTTTTGAGCCATGGCGCATATTTAAAAAACCCCACACCAGCAACAAGAATATTATAAAAGTATATGTAATAAAATACGATGACCTCGCAGGAATTGAAGAAAGACTCACATAAAAATCTTCCTCATCTTTGAGTCTCTATCACTAAGTTTTCATAGCCATCTGCTGCCACCTAGTGGAAGAGTATTTGACTGTTGTGCCTTTTAATTTAACATAGATCAATAAAGACAAAGACAATAAAGACCAAATTAAATCAGATGATTTCAAGGTCTAGATTCTACATTGACCTCCTTTCCCTCCTAAGGAATAGTGAAGCAACACATTTTGAGAAATATGTTTAGACGTTCATGGACCTTACTCATAAAAAAGCAGCAGGTGATTATGTTAGTCAAACACTGCATTAGTCAGTGTTATTATAAGGAGGTCGTTATTCCCTAGATAAAAAAACGAAACATTTTTTAAATGTGTTCATTAATAAGTCTCACTCGATAAGTTACTGTTGACACAGATATTTCTGCCGAGGCCTGGAGGTGACCTGGTCAACACCTCAGTCCTGGACCTGGGGAACTACAGCACAATGACCGTGGACATTATTTCATCTGACTCTCCACTGGTGCTAAAGGTTCTCTTTTGGTTCTGCTACAGAAATAATAATAATATTAATAATTATAGATGTACTCTAACATCACTCCTGATCTTCCCTAATAATACAGATGTTTCCATCAGAGGATCCGTTACCATTCAGGGTATACCTCGGTTATTTGACTTACCCCACTGAGGATCAACATGTTGCAATGACTGAGATGCCTCAACCAGGAAGTACACTGGGTAATCATTTTTGCTGTTTGTCAAATGTGCAAGGGTAAGTTTAAAATTTAAAAAGACAGAGGTACTAATCTAAAAATGATCTGGTTTTAATCATTAATACAAATTAGGACAGGCCTCAGTGGTGTATCCAGCTGTTTTATTTATTTCCAGTTTTTATTTCTTTGTCAAGCTGTGTTTGTTTGACAGCATTTATCCAATTTTTCAATGAATGAATATTAATCTTTGCAACTGGTTTTGAACTAGCTAACAGCACTGCAGACGAGTTTAGACTTAGAATTGAGTGGTTTCATGGTGAGTAATTTACAATAATTTGTTTTTCAACTTAGAATATTTTGACTCACCCTCACAGAAACACTAAATATCTGATAAAGAGCTACAGTGACCTGTCTTGACTTCTGTCTGATGCAGAGCAGAGATACACGTGGATTGTAGACCCTAAAGACTTACAGGGGAAAACTGGAGTCTACTACCTGGTAGTGAGGCCCATGGTAGGACCAGGAATTAAATCCATCAATGCTACTTTATCAGTCACGTCCATCTCTGCTGCATGCAAGTTCTGGAATGAATCAACACAGGAGTGGAGTGTGGACGGGTGTAAGGTGAGTGAAGTGATTCTCTGTCAAGTTTAACCACCATCTTAACCTCATCTTCAGCGTCAGAACAAAGACATCGTAACGTCTGCTCTGTTTGAAGGTCGGCGTGGACACCACGCCTTTGGTCACCCACTGCCTCTGCAACCATCTCACCTTTTTCGGGAGCTCCTTCTTTGTGACTCCCAACCTCGTCGACCCGTCTCGTTCTGCTCAGCTGTTTGCCACCTTCGCTGACAACCCTGTCGTCGTGTGCTTTGTGGTTGCACTCATTGTGGTTTATCTGCTGGTACTCGTGTGGGCACGACGAAAAGACAATCAAGACACTGCCAAGGTAGAGTGTACGTTATTTATTTATGGAATTGAATCATCTGTTAAATTTTTTAATATTAGAAACAAATTTAAACTTTCATTGTTTGTGTTAAAGTCTTCTCCCGGCGTACCTGGGTTATAGATGCCCTGGGGGGGGGGAGTCACCTGGTAGCCCCCATGGACTACCTAAGGTGCCTGCAGGGTATATTATAAAAATAAAACTAGTCAACAAGCAGGTCAAAAATTAAACTGTTACTGAGGAGCGCCGGGGGGGGGGGGAGTCACCTGGTAGCCCCCATGGACTACCTAAGGTGCCTGCAGGGTATATTATAAAAATAAAACTAGTCAACAAGCAGGTCAAAAATTAAACTGTTACTATATTATAAACATATGAGAAATTAAATTGAAATAAAACACACATCAGCAGGATTTGATATTTATTTTGTCTCTTTATCTGTAGCCGTCCAAAAAAACAAAATGTATCTGCTGTAACATATCTCGTAAATAGGGTCTATATACGGGGGGGGGGCAACTCTAGTACACGTTTGATATGATCTCATTGGACCAAATATAATTACACTGCGGGCCAGATCTGGCCCCCGGGCCTCAGTTTGTCATCTGTGACCCCTGATGAAGGGACATGCTCACGTTTTACATTATAGGATTCAGAATCGTGTCCCAAATACTTTAAAATCTGTTCTTAATCTTAATCTGTCTAAAATGGACAACATGCAGCTGAAGGTGACTGTGCTGGAGGATAACAACCCGATGGATGAATACAACTACCTGCTGAGTGTAAACACGGGGCTTCGCAGAGGAGCTTCAACTTCCTCTCAGGTAATTTTAGTTTTAGGCACAGACTCCACCAAGTATACTTGGAAATCCACAGCTGAGTTTCAGGAACATTAACCATTTATTTCCATGTGTTTGTTGCACAGTTTGTCTGTGATCATTTAATTTAATTATTTATGGCCAGGAAGTTTTTTTGTTTTTTTTACCCTGTTCTCAGTTCAGGGTTTTTACTTTTACCGTCCAAATATTTGATAAAAGTGTACTTGTATTTTAACTATACTGTATCATGTAAATAAATAAAAATAAAAATGGTTTCATTTAGGTTACAATAACACTGCTGGGAGCTGACGACAACAGTGAACCCCACCACCTGACGGATAAAAAGAAAAGTCTGTTTGAGAGAGGTTCAGTAAATTATTTTCTGCTGACGACACCCTTCTCTCTGGGAGACCTGCTGGGCATCAGGCTGTGGCATAACAACAGAGGGCGCCATCCTGCTTGGTAGGCCTTTTTTTCAAATGTATATTTGCAAATGTTTTCTAATGGAGATTGTAAAAAAGCAAAAAAAAAAACAAACGCGGGTAAATATGTTTTGTTATTTGGCTAAATTCTTTTCACAGACTTTTAAATCTGGATTAATAAACACATATACTCACGGTACATACAGTACGTGTCTATTAATAGAACATGGGCTGGTTATATAAATATGTAAATAATGTTGTAATGGTCAATATTACTGCAGTTCTCGTTCTAGTAGTTACCTAACCTTCGGCATTTAGAGAGGTCAAATAAAAGCCCCTTCTTTACATTCCTCCGCTCTGGTGTCTGAAGTACAGAGATAATCCAGCCTCCACCTCCAGACACGGCAGATTATGTCTGTCGTCATCGAGTCGCATCAACTGAAATTCTAGTAAATCGGTTGCAATTCAAGAAAATGTTTCTGTCAGAGTATTTTTTTATTTTTTATGAAAGTGGTATTTGCAAAAAGCATGGTTTCACTAGCCAGGTATGGAGAGAAACTCACGCAATATTTTATAAATATTCTTTGTGGAATCCAAAATGTAATGAATTTGATTACTTTATGCCAGTGAATTCCGCCACAGAGAAATTGTTCTCCAGACTCGAGGGCTGTGCAGATAAACATCAACTTTTCTAAACTGCAGGTTATTATTTGAATTGTTATCGGGGGGGTTTTTTTCTCCGATAAAGCAATGTCTGGGTTTCGCAGGGCGATTTGTGCCCTAAAAAAAGTCTGTATAATAAAACAGCTCATTTAATTAATCTCATACTCATTTGGTGGTTTGTTCAGATAAATAAATAATTATTACCAGGCCTATATCAGTATCGGTTGATATTGGACAGCCTATATCAGTATCGGTTGATATCGGACATCCCTACTTTTTTTTGTCACCTCTATAACACACCTTTGTTTTGTGTCAGGTTTGTTGGACATGTCATGGTGCAGGATCTGCAGACACACCAGAAATGGCACTTTCTGTGCAACTCCTGGCTGGCCGTCGACATGGGCGATTGTTCCCTGGATAAAACGTTCCCTGTTGCAACAGAAATGGATTTAAAGGGATTTAGGTGAAGAAAACTTGACCTTGAAATTACCCCCCAAAAAAGGTTGTCCAAACAGAGAACTTAACTACATTTAAAATAATAAAATAATATTAATAAGTTAGGTGTCACTGGACAAACTGAGTGCAGATAGAAAACCAGATTTCACAGGGTTAAAACTTTTGTGAACTGGACTGCTATCGTTCCCACTGTTCAATTATTAAATATTTTTTGTTGGCCTTGGACCTGTTATCATTTCCTCCATCATTTTTCAGTTATATTTTTGCTACTCTGTTTCTAAGTTGGGTCACCACAGGTTATAGTAAGTTAAAAATGCAGGAGACAGACTGTTCACAGTTGTCAAATAAAAAGAAATCCTGTGATTTTTAGATCAGCTCTTGTCCCTTTATTGACATTTTTTTGCTTGTTTTTTTTTTTTACTATACTATAAAGTCACTCTTCTAACTTTGTTTATTTCGTCAGCAATTTATTTTTTATGAAGACCTCAAAGGATTTGAGTGATGGGCACCTGTGGTATTCAGTGGTCAGCCGTCCAGCAGGCAGCCCCTTCACCAGTGTCCAGAGAGTCTCCTGCTGTTTCTCTCTGCTGCTCTGCACCATGCTCACCAGCCTGATGTTCTATGGAATCCCCGCTGATCCGTCAGAGCAGACCATGGACCTGGGTACAGTCACTCCATCACACTGTGTCTCACTTCTCCCATCATGTTATTTTGTCACCATGACAACCACTCCCTCCACTTGTCTCTGAACCCAGGCCACTTTGAGTTCACCTTCCAGCAGTTCATGATCGGAGTTCAGAGTTCATTCATCATGTTTCCGATCAACCTGCTGATCGTCAGTGTCTTCAGAAACTGTCGGCCCTGGGAGATGACGTGCTGCAAGAGCAAAGCAAAAACATCGGATGCTCTGAAGCGGAGAACAACACAGACTCCTGCCTCCCAGGCTGTTTCCAGCATGAACGTTGACGTCGCACTAGAAAGGATCACCAAGGTTTTCTTTGCGTCTATCTGTAACATAAAGTGCTAATAATGTGTAAAATTAAAAACTTTTTTTTTCTTTTTCTTCTTTAGGATATCTCCAGAATTGCCCTTTCACTCTGTAAGGGCATCAAGGGTAATAAACCAGCCACAGAGTGTGAGTTTGGACTGGAAAACACAGATATAAATGCAGTTCTCTCCGTGGTGGAGGATTTCGTGAGAAGAAAGTTCAACAGCAGTGAATGTGCAGAATCAAAAACACTTCACCCTCACGACCGTCTGCAGCCCCAGATACCAGGTGCTGTACCATTGTCCATGAAAAAAAAAAGAAAAAAGTATTGTGTTTTCTGCATGGTTGGATGGAGAAAAAAAAGAAACAGCAAAATATTTTCATGATTTAAGAAGGTCATCTGTGTCTGCAGCTCCCTGCACGTGCTCCTCCACGTGTTTGTTTCATCTTGGCTTTTCCAGTTCAATGCACTTTACTCTGAGCTTTACTTTGCACAACAAACAACAGTTCGCACTAGTTAATTTGCACATTTGCAGCATCAGACCACAGAGAATATCCATGCTGTTGTGGAAGAGCTCACAGCAAATCAGTTTAGATGAAATAAAGTCCCCCACGACCTGGAAAAATCAAGATCAAGATCGCTGACAAATTGAACATAATCTGAGAATATGTGTTAATGTAAACGTGAGTGTTGTCTGTCGCTGTGTGGACAGTGTGTGTTCATTCCTCACATCAAACTGAATTTCAAAGCAAAAACACTCACCTTTGACCTGGCAGGACACACATTACACAGAATAACCCCTGTTTTCATCTGCACGCAGCAGAAAGCAGTCAGAAGGACAACAAAACCAAATATCTGTACAGACAGCTGTGTCACATCCACGAAGAGCTGAGTCTGCTGGACTCTTCCTGCCCCTCTGCCCCCCAGAGCTACAGACGGGCACTTCAGCAGGTCCAGGGCATTAAGAGCTTTCTTCAGGATCAGCTTCATGCAGCCAACTTTGAAGAACTAGAGAAGTACTGAAGCACACCACTTCATCATGGAACCCTGCTTCACTTCAGGCTGTGAAATCATTCTTACTTCCATCACTTACAGGCCGGCTCCTCCAGGAGGCAGCGACGACGAGGAGCGGGCGAAGAAAGGATGCTGTCACGGAGGTCTGCCCTGGTGGTTTGTTTTTGTCGGCTGGTTCCTGGTAGCTGCCACAGGTGCCGTGACCTCGTATTTCACAATGCTTTATGGTTTGAAATTTGGGAAGGAGCGCTCCATCAGCTGGTTGGTCTCCATGGTGGTGTCCTTCTTCCAAAGTGTGCTCATCACTCAGCCAATAAAGGTGAGGAAGAACAGGATTTTCCCAGTTTTTTTTTTATAATCAGAAATATTTTTTATGCACGAGGTCACAGGTAGATTCATCTGTTCCTCCTAACACAGGTGCTCTGCTTTGCTGCATTTTTCGCCCTTGTTATAAAGAAAGTTGATGAGGACGATTTTCATAATGTGGCATTTAGTGACTCGAGTCCAGGTAAAAAAAAAAAAAGATTACAAAACCTAATATGTAATGTGTTTGTTTACACAGCAGGGACTGACTCTGTGTTCTGTTCACAGATGAAGGCAGGAACCAGCAGAGAGTGGCGCAGCACAGGAGTCAGTATGAACCACCGCTTCCTGCAGACGTGGAGAGGATGAGAAGGAACCAGATGATTGAGCAAAAAGCTGTGGCTTTTCTGAGGGAGATTTTCAGTAAGTAGAAGAAACACTGGCCGCTGTGTTGACAGTTCACCCAAATCACCAGCATCCAATCCCATCATCCACTGAAAAACAGTTGTGGAAGTTGGACATCTGTTCATTTGCATAAGCTGCTTGGACTTTTTTTTTTTAATTACTATTATCAGTTTCCAGGCAAATCTGACATTTGTGCGTTCATAAAAACATTTTTTGTTCTGCCTTTCTGACTTTTTCTTTGAATTAATTTTTGTTTTTTTAAGTCATTTGGTTTTTTAAGTGTAATTCATTAACCTCTCAGGTAAAGCTAATTTAAAGCATACGTCACACATTTGAGGCGTGCAGATGTCGTGAGCTGTGGATCTGAACCTTCTACTGTTGTATGGTGTTCTCCAGTCTACACAGGGTTCATGTGGATGTTACTGCTGGTGGCTTATGGTCAGAAAGATCCAAACGCCTTTTTACTGAAGCAGCACATCCGGACCAGCTTCGACCCAGCCATTTCACAGAGCATGAGCCTCAGGGACGTCTTCCAGTGGGCCAACACGTCTCTACTTTCTAATCTATTTGGAAATTATCCAGGTAAAAAAAAAAAACAAATCTATTTTTTTCTTTCATCACAGTTGACCATCTGCCTCCTTCTTACTCTGAGACCAAGCGTCTGCGTCTGTTCTCCCTCACTCCGTCCTGAAACTCTCTCTGGAGTCAGAGAAGTTCTTCATGGAATGTCAGTTGTCCAGTTCCATTTCAGTTCGTCCGCTGCTCACTAACTATTAATTCCCTTTCAGTTTTTATGATGCACTCTTCACCAGTATTAGCCATTTTTTATTTTATTTTCCTCCATCATTTTTTTGGCAATTGGTGATTCGTTTTTCATTTGGCACATTTTTCTTACTCAGACAATGTTTGGAACCAAACCAGAACCAATTTGAATCATTATCTACCTGAAAGTGTGGCAGAGTGAGATGAAAAATATCCCTGAGAAAAAATCAGTACGATGATGATTTTACAAAAAAAAAGCCTCTGTCCAGGTGTTAGAACAATGTTTTTAGTTATCTATAATATTTGTAAAAAAACACTAAAAACTTTTGGGCCAGTCAACAACAAGCTTCGCGTTTCAGACTCAGCGACTTTCACGAGTGCGTAGCATCAGAAACAGTGGATAAGGACAAGGACTTGGGTCTGGAAGGTTTCGGGTTTGAGTCCAAAGCTGCCAAGTCAGATGCACTGAGCAAGGCACCGTCCCCACACACTGCTGACTTTGGTGACGTCACGTTTTGTGGACTGCAGTGATGTGCTGTGTCACAGTAATTTCACTTTCAGTTCACTTCATGTCTCAGTTAAAGAATAAAAGGTCGGTAATGTTTTTCTTTTATTTTTCATCCTTTTTCTGGATGTTAGAAAAGAAAAGTACAATTTCAAAGGTCATATTGGACTTCATTTGTAGAAGCTGCATAATCACGTGGTGAGAGCAAATGAATAAATCAAACAGTAAACTCTCGGGTCACTTTACTGTGCGTCCCACATTCATCCCATTATCTCTCTGTCCTTCACTAATTATTGCTCCCTCGTCTCTATTTGACTTACCCACAAAAACCTCTTTCATGTCTGACTGACACCAAACTTGTGCTGCATACAAACTGAAGAGAAATGAATGAACGCAGCCTCAACGTCCATCAACTCCAGCCTATGAAACTTCCTGAACCTTCTGGGCTGTTCTGTCGCTGTAGGTTTGATGAGCTCAGCGGTTAAATTCCCCTCGGTTTGGAAGAGAAAATGAATCATGTGTCTTAGCCACTTGGTGGTAATGGATCCATGGTGTAGTGGTTAGCATGCCTGCCTCCGAGGTAGTCCTGGGTTTGAGTCCCAAAGGACGCGAATACCTGTCTGTTGCAGCAGTGAGAGACCAATAACGTTCAAAACATTATTATTATTTTTATTATGTTGTTGTGATTGGAACACCAAATCATTATTACCTGCATCTTTATACTGAATTTGACTGTGAAATGCTGTGCTTCAGGATTCATCACAGATGGAAAGTCTAAGCTTGTGGGAAACGCACGCCTACGCCAGCTGAGAATACAGCAGCAGTCGTGTCAGACAGCAGCCAACCTGCAGCAGATCACACCAGACTGCCATGCACCGTACTCCTGGGAGGGAGAGGACGTGAACTCCTATGACACCGGCTGGACACAACCTACACACAATATTACAGCCGCCGCCGCCGTCGCCAGCCCGTGGACGTACCAGACACAGACTCAGCTGAGGGCTTACCCTGTGTGGGGCAAAATGCATCTCTACAGGGGGGGCGGCTTCGTGGCAGAGCTCGGCCCAGATTTAAATAACGCCAGCAGGTACTGCATGTTTACGAGCTGATAAGATTTGGACAGAAGAGTTCTGAGATTTTCTGAATGAGTCCCAATGCAATCAGTCTGTTCACATGTAGATGTTAAAAACTCATTCCTTTCTCTTTCCAGGACTGGTTTACAGATAAGAATTAAAAAAAAATGTGTGTAAGAAAATATTAATACACTGAAAAATTGCAATACTATAGAATGGCACGGTCTCAGGAGGTGCCCTGGTGTGCAGGTGATGAGAATGGTTGGCCTTTTAAACAATTCAAGGAATTTTCATTAACAATGGCAGTCTCTGTGGGTGTGCATGGGATTGAGGAGAACACTGCGTGTCAGGTTGTTTTATTGCACAACCTCTGCTCTTATTTATGCTGGATTTGTTAATTAGGTCACTGTTTGTGTGCGTTAGAGAGAAAATATGGATACACTGAAATATCACAATATTTCATTTTGTTATACAGTGTATTGATTTTTTTTCTCACCAATTCCCAGTTCAATATTCCTGGTGTTGGTTCATGTTCTTTTTCTTTTCTTTCTTCTCTAGTGATTCCAAATGTAGATCCCTCTGTTCCAGTGTTAGGAACTGATGTTCAGATGGAACAGAGTCTGAGACTAGGATCACAGTATATCACAATATATATCGTATCGTTGCCCCTTTGTATGGTATCACCAGATTCTCACCAGTACACAGCCCTAATGTTGTTGTTTTCATTCACAGAACACTTGATTATCTGTTCAGGAACAAATGGTTGGATTTGTCCACCAGGGCGTTGTTTGCTGAGTTCACCGTTTATAATGCTAATGTCAACCTCTTCTGCATCGTCACACTTTTTTTCGAGACCAGCGCCATTGGTAAGACAGAGCGCTGGCGTCGTCGAGATGCATTCATTGATTTATTCTGTGTTGCTTTACTCTTTTCTTTTTTTTATTATTTTCCAGGAGCGTTTCAGTTCCACAGTGAGCTGCAGAGTGTCCGTCTCTACCAGTCAACTGGAAATCTTCACCTGTTTGTCGTCGCCGC